ATTAACAAAATCAGGTTCGGCTTGATGATTTTATTGCGCTTGAGCTCAACAACTACTTGGCCTTGACAAATTTGTGGCGACCTTGTATTCTAACTCATGCATGTCCCGGATGTCTGGCTCTCCTGCGCGCCAGACGTTTCAAGGTCATGGACATATCTAGCCTCACTGGCCAACTACTTCTCAAGGCCAGTGTACAAAGGAACGTACTGCGGAGTTGTTTACGCTCAGTCACTCCCAGAACCGGCGACCTAATGTTCGGTTGTAGTTGTCCGGACCCGGTGATCTACTTGCCGGGCTGCGCCTCTGGACTCCGGCCTATTCTTGGCTGGACTACACTTGTCTGGGCGTCACTTACCTATTACTTACATTCTACTCCTGTTACACCTTGTTACATTATCCCTAACACTCTGACTTTCTACGCCTTATATAATAAACTAGTTCATAACCGTTAGGATACATTCTATCATCCTTTATCCGGCCGGACTACTTCGTATCCCACACATTTGTGGCCCAAGACGTGATCTAACCAGGCGACTGCCAGAAGTGAGTGAGCAATCTCTTCAAGAAATTCCAACTCGCCTTCACCGTACTGTCTTCCCTGCGTCACTCGCCGTGCCCGCGGTTAGGTAAACACGGTGGCCGATACCCTGTTGCCAATCAAGGTTGACGTTTCAATAAAACTCAGCCGTACAGGTCCAGGTCGAACCCCAATCAATTTATTTGGAGCATTCATCCAAATAGGTTGCTATAGGATCACATTTTTCTTTTTAACGTGACTTTCCTCCGGCCATTACCAACGAAACATCATCCAAGTGTTATCTTCATGCGATAAACATAATATCGCCAATGCATAGATGAATCTTCCATCTTTCGACACTCCACTTTATCTATATTTTGTGTTTAGATGACTGTGAACCTATTCCACTGATGCACTCATCCGGTTAAGCCCTCATTTTTACGAAATATCCTTTCCCCACACCAACGTGCCAACTCAATGGCACACATTGTGGAGATAGTGTCAGCAGATTCTTCAGCTGATATAACAGCTGCAGCTCAGCACAGGTTGCAGGCATCATCCTGGCCTCCAGCACGAAAAACCACCGTCACACACGACAAACGCTCTTCTACTTGCATTTTCATGGGATCATCCCCCTCATTTCATCGTTAGCTCACGTTCAACGCATCCACTTCGAGTATCATTCGTATTTGCGCACTCCCTTGAGTGTGATCACCGCTTCAACTAGGATAACACCGAGGTGATCGCAATGGCTAATACGAGGCAGGGTGAGAATTCCACGAAGCTTCGCCCTCGAGCCCGGCCAATATTGACAGACACCTAGACCTTGATCCACACTATTCCGGTTTCCGTGCATGGTCCACTAACATGCGTTCAGCCTGAAACAACAGCAGGCCACCTGTGCTCGTTCAAGTAAAACTTCATTGGTTCTGCACCTCCCTCCTCCCCGGAAGACATGGTCCACAATCCAAACGTTACCACCTCCCCCCTTACCTGCTGAATCCACCGCCGCAGAATTCACGTCGCCGTAACCATCCCCCTCAACCCCATCACAGTTCATTGTAACCTCTGCTCCAAAAACCTCCAGCGCGACATTCCCAGCCCTCACTTTTCATTTAGTGTGACGTAGTACAAGAGATAACTGTTCGAAAATTCACGAGTAGATCTCAATTTTCCGAAGATCTTCTTTCCTATCATTATATCATACCTCGGAATGCAACTCACTTCACTTATCCAGCTTCCTACTGCGTCTGGCGGGGAGACAAAAATGCTGTCCCAATTCCTTGTTCAATGTGCGCTTGTCATGTATCTTCGTTTGCAGCTGTTTGTGACTCGTTGACTTGAAGATCCTTGACCGACTTCCACGCGCGTTCTGCCGCCTCAGGACCACTTGAACACGCCACATCTCAGCCAACGCAGCAGAGGCCTCTCTACGTGAAACCGTCTCGGGCAATGTAAAATGCCAACTAGCATGATCTTGTTTCGCAATCATAAAAAGTGGCTGCCATCATCACTATCACACACACAATCACACATTCTGAGGCCTGGCTGGGCAGAGGCAACATTAGCGCTGGCTTTGCTAGCGACCACAACTGCTTGGACAGCAATGCGGGGATCTGTGCACAACTATTCCCTTATTCTGGTGCCTTCTACCCTTTACCTACAACGAGAAGAAAATCTGAGGAGTCGAGGGTGTCTTTAGCAGAAAGAATATCTGGAATTTTATCTTGACTGTCATGGTCACAGGCTTTGGTCCTCTGTCGTCATGCGCCATAACCGTAAAACCCTCTGTCCTCGAAGCTTAGTCGACCTACAAGACAGACAGCAGAAGCGGTCACTGCGACTAAATCGATTATCGCAGACAAGAATTGCTGACGCCATCGCATGTAGAACGAGAAAGCGCAAACCCAAATTCTGGAGTTGTCGGATTTGTCAAAACTGACGCCCGCAAGGTCAAGTTTGATATGAGCTCGACTAGGTTGATTCTGTCCAATCGGTTACAAAATTATCACCTGCCTTGTCAAAACAGAAGGCTGGTTCCAGGCAGGAGGGGAGACAGCACAAGTGGGGCAGTCGTGAAGACACGGCGGGATAGATGGCCCCGTAGAAATTTTCATATGCTGTAGGGTAGCCAATTAGCGCAAAGAATGTCTGAGCCCGCGTTCAAGACCTCAACAGTTCGCTTGTCGCGTACACGTCACGTGACGTGTCTGGACTACACTAGTAGCATACCATGCAAGCCCCGTTAAATGTACAGCTTTTAGTAAGTCTTATTAATAAATGTCAAAATGTGCAAGACATTTTTGGAAGCCTTTACCGACCTAGTTCTGTTGACGTGAGGACCGCAGAATTAAGGACGTAATGTCACAGTCCGGTAAAGGAAGTACTTTGGGAAATGGTGGTTTATTGGGTGAATTTTCGACACTAGTTCACCAGGTCGTCGTCAGACGGATGCGGATTGTACGCAACAGTTAATCCAAAATGATGGCTAACAGAAGCTTATATAGTGGGTCGGGGTAATAATTCATGATCGTCACCCGCATGTGACTATGCGGTCAATGAGATGAAAATAGTTGTCACTCAGATGTAATTATGCGGTCGGTTGGGGACTAATTGTCGACCGCATTTAATTGTGCGGTCGGTGGTGGCTGGTTTTTGCTTCGTCTAATCCGGGTAGGCTGCCGTCTCCTCCATGCTTCCCTGAGGATGGTGTACATCGCGTCTAATTCGACGTGCCTGTTGGTGCACGAGTCGTCGGAGTTGATGGCTGCCCAACCGTCTGACGTGGACCTGGTGAGCCAGTGTCGAAAATTCACACAATAAACCACCGTTTCCTAAAGTACTTATTCTACCGAATTATACTTCTTGGGATTCTGATTTTCCAGTTAATGTCACAATTCTCCATCGATGAAGAAAAAATAACGAGTGACGAAAAATACCACACAGCTTCTTATAGTTCGCTCACAAATGAAGTGGTGAGAAAACACTCCTCAAACAGATCCAGGCTCGTCGCAGAAACTCGGAAGAAAAAACAACACATATATCTGCGCCACCAAATTGCACGGAACGGCTATCCGAAGACTTTCTTAAGTGGATTTCTACATGTTCTTCCCCGGAGGACCTAATCAGGAACCTCACCTTGGCTATGACGTAGATCAAGGACGCTTCTGAGGTGATCGGGTGTATTGCTGCAGGATTAAGGGGTCGGAGTTGCCAACCAGCCTAAAGCCACTATGTACAGCAGTGTCAGAAGAATCAAGGACTAGTCAAATTGCTGTAGTCTACGGCATCGCCTGCCTAAACGGCCCTTGCAATTAAATAGGCCCACCTGGACGCAAGCTCAGATCCCGCATACACAAACATAAGCTGGCCATGCGATTGGTGACGGATTATCACAAGTGGCTGCCAACATTCGGTCAATCGATCTAGCGCCGCCATACAGGGCCCTGTGCAATCACCTTCAGACTGGCGTTACTGATGTTTGATTTGATCCTACCCTGTCTTTTGCCTGATTGCCTCTTTTATCTCCGACGATTAACTCCTGAACCAGTTTGAAAGCTCAGATAAATTAGAAAAATGGTTCTCACGATCGAACAGCCTTCCTCTTCCCTGGTTAGGGCGCAAAATCGATGTATCGATTGAATTAGTTCTCATCGAAGGAACAGGTTTCGATTGATTCACAGCTTGCTTTGCTGCTGGTGTGTGTGATTATCTTTGACGATAGTCGAAAGTTCAGATGAATAAAGATATGATTCCGGCGATTGGACAGTCTTCATATTTCCTGGAATGTGAACATTCAATTCACGAGAGACCTCTGTCGACCATTGGCCTCAACAAAGAAGTTTGACCTAAGTAATGCACGAGGCCTAATCTCTCTGTCCTAGAGACAGGGTCAATTGCCTTTTGCCCCGGAATATGCCGCCCTCTATGAGAAATCAAATGGGAAGGGCTGTATGAGCAATTTATATATTAGTCCTTATCTCTTAAGATTGATTAAATTCAGAAAGACCTGAGTATGAATAAAATATGAACAAGTCAAGAAAACAGAATATTTGAGTAGATCGTTTTCACCAGTAATGTAATGCGTTTCAGCAGAGTATCTGAACGGGCCACATCGCGCATCCTGGCAGGATGACACGGGTGGACCCGAGTAAGAAAGGAGGGAGGGAGGGCCAGTTGGAGAGGTATGATGACAGCGAGAGGAGTCAAACACGCAGTTAGACAAGCGTGAACTTCTCAAGTTTGTTCTGTCCAACCTGGATCATGGTCTTATAGGGCTCCCAGTAGGTGGGATCCGAATTGGAGGGCACAACGACCGTCGGTGGGGACCCATTCCCCTCCTCATCCTCTTCTTCAGCAGTTTTCCTACTCGCGGTCTGAGCTCCCGGCTTGCTCACTTGCTCACCAAGGGGCTCCGTGCTATCCTGCAAGGACTGACCCATCCTAAGTGGTCGAACGTAGAGTTTACTCTTCACCGTAGT